AAATTACCCTCCCCTCCTCGGTACATTTGTCCATGGACAGATCCTGCACCCCATCAACCTTGAGGCATGCTTCCCCTAACAAAGGGACGTCTTTGGAGCCTGCTGGGAAGACTCCCAGAAAGAGGAGCATGGACTCTCACTGAGCCAGCTCCAAAAAAGACTTCGTCCCCGTTGAGATCCTTGTACTTCAAGAGTACTGTTGAGGTCAAGGACCCTTTCTCCAGTACCAGTAGGCCTGCAAAGCCCCTGGAGCTCTAAGGACTGGAAGCACAGCTCCGATAGGGCAACTATATCCTCCACCAGTAAGGAGAGTAAGCACAGGGTACTACCTATTTTGGCCCTGCTCAACACCAAAGTATCCTGCTCAGCTATTGATGTTGTGTCTTAACCAGCCATTGGTACTGTTGTAAGCAGCTCAGGCAGGGGTACCGAGCAAACATTGGGACTTGACATCTACAATGCCTGAAGTACACCCATCATCCTTGGGACTGTCAGCTACAGCAACGTCTGCTATGGTGTCGGTACTGGGGTCCTTTCTGGTACCACAGGAGTTCCGATACTCAATGGACCTCTCTGGATCAGACAAACTAGAGTGTCCATTGTTGTTGGGTACCAAGCGTCTCTCAGTACTGAGACCTCAGTCTCTGAGTGGCCACTTCATGGCACAGGACTGTGCTCTGTCCTCAAATCCTGCTCCGCTATGGGAGGATGCGAGAAGGAGACCAGTTGGGAGTCCTCTTTGATTTCAATGAAGGGTTCTCCTGCATACCCCTTCAGGAATCCACTTTCTCACAGGGAGGACCTTGCTGGTCAGCAAGAAAGGTGGAACTAACTTTGTATGCAACCCCTACTTCCTTATGGACATCCCCCAATGGCCATATTGGGACCTATGGGCTGCCGATCGACAGCAATTTAACAGCCACTGGTATTGTCTCTCCAAAGACAAGGTTTCACATCCTCCCCCTACCCATCCAGGACAAGAGAAGATATTTGAAGAGCAGGAGGCTAGGGTAGAAGAAGAGATCACCCCTGAGTTTCCCATTTCATCGTTCTTGCTGGAAGAGGCAGTTATAGCTTCACCACCTTCCACAGCTTCAGGCCGTTTCAGGACGTCATTAGAAGGGTAGCAGACACCCTGCAGATCCCTCTGGTGGAGGTCAAAGATCCACAACACAAGCTGCTAGATACTTTGCAGTCGGCAACCCCCCCTTCAGAGTGGCATTACTTATTAATGTGGCTCTCCTGGATCTGGCTAAGACAGTGAGGCAAACGCTTGCCTCTGTTGCACCAATGGATTCCAGCTTTCTATTTTCCCATCTCCCACCTTACTCCCTATTGGTGGATGCAGTGAATGAACAGGTTAGGCAGCAATTTTTTGACATCTGCCCTCTATGACAAGGACCAGAAGTAAGTGAATCTCTTTGGGCAAAAATCTTTCTTGTCCGCAACCCTGTTGTTCCAGATCACAAACTCTCAGGTGCTCATGACCAAATACAATTTTACTAATTGCAACAAGCTCATGGGCGCTATTGAGCAGTTGCCACATGACTGCAGGGAACAATTCCAGTTCATAGTTGCAGAGAGTCACCTGCTGGCCAGAACAGCTCTCCAGGCATCCCTAGATGCTGCTCATTACTGCCAGCTCTATCTCCATGGCAATAGTTATGCGCGGGGTGTCATGGCTCCAACTTTTGGGGTTTCCAGGCGAGTTTCAGAACACAGTAGGGGACCTCCCTCCTGGTCATAGGCTTTTCTCAGAGATCACGAATGACTCCTTGCACATGTTGAAGGACTCCAGGGCTACCCTACCTTTCTTAGGCATTTACACATCAAGGAGCAAGAAGCTTTTTAGTAGGTCAGACTGTCCAGAGATCATGCCCTGTTTAGTTCTTTGGATATCATAGACCCGTGGAACTCCCCAGAGGTTGCACAGCAAGAGGGCTATTCAGTGGCCCTTGACAACCACCCAGGTGTCACCTAAACATGAGTTTTGATGGGCTGGTCAAGAGATGAAATCCCTCCCCCCCCAACCCCCCGGATTTACAGTTGCACCCCTTTAGCCCACTCCCTCCCTCCCCTTTGGGGACCAAGTTATCCATTTCAACCCAACTTGGGAGTAGATCACCATGGATCAGTGGGTCTTAGAGATCATAACATCAGATTATACCATCCAGTTTGTCTGTCTGTGTGTGTCTCTCTCTCTCTTCCCCCCAATTCTCCTTTCCTCTTCAGGGACCCCTCTCATGAGCTTCTACTAAGGCAAGTTGGACTCTCTCCTCCAACTAGGAGCAATAGAACCAATCCCTTCCCTTTACAGGGTCGGGATTCTACTCAAAATACTTTCTAGTGCCCCAGGAGGACATAAGTTGGAGGCCAATCTTAGATCTAAGACAGATCAGTTGAACAAATTAGTGAAGCCTCAAAAGTTGAGGATGGTGACTCTAGCAACTATAATTGCCCACCTCAACACACTCTGAGTTTAGGGCGGATGGATAGCCCATGAAATTAGTTTTGACATCAACCTGTCGAAGCTCAGGGCAGTCAGGAATTCTTGTCTCCATTTCCTACCCCTCATCAGGGCAGAGCGATCTGGGTCATGATGGACAATATGTCCTTCATGCTTTACATCAACAAGCAGGAAGGAACAAGATCCTCCTTGTGCACTGAAGCTATAAAGCTCTGGAACTGGTGCATAGCCCACCGTATCCATATTTCAGTGGTCCACCTCGCTGGAATACCACAGCCAATGCTCTCAGCAGATACTACTCCCACAACTGTGAATGGGAGCTGGGCACTCAGGTTCTCTATGGCTTATTCTAGAGATGACACTGCCAGAGATCAGTCTTTTCACCACCTCCAAGAACAGGAAGTGTCCTCTTTTCTGTTCAAGGCAGGTCTGAGTCACCAATCCTGTGGAGGAAGAGCCTGTTCTATGCCTTTCCCCCAGCACCCATAATTCTAAGGGTGTTGAACAAGATCAGGCAGGACAAGGCCAGAGTCATCCTTCTAGTACTACCTGGCCGAGACAAGCTTGGTACCCTTAACTGCTTGTGTCCAGCTATCAATCGAGCTCCCAACCATTCCACATCTCCTGTCTCAGGATGCTGGTCATGTGCTTCACCCCAGTCTAGTAGTTTTACACCTCAGTGCATGGTTCCTGGATGGTTCTCAGGAATACAGGTTTTCAGCTCTACGGAGGTGCAGCAGGTGGTGTTAAACAGTAGAAAAACATCAGTCCGCACTACTTACCTGCAAATATGGAAGAGATTCATCTGTTGGGACGGTGGTTGATAACTCTGGCTGGAATCCACTCCTGTTTCCCTCGTCCTAGATTACCTGCTGGATCTGAAGATACCCAGCTTATCCATCATTTTGGTCAAGGTACACTTGCCCACCATATCAGCCTTTCATCTCCCTGTCCAAGGACTTGACATTTTTGCTCCCTGGATATCCTCCAGATTTATTAAGGGTCTGAGTAATTTCCTTCCCCACATTAGACCTCCCACCCCATCTTGAGACCTTAACCTGTTTCTCAGCCATCTCACAAGACCTCAGTTTGTACCAGTGGCGACGTGCTCCCTACTTCATTGGCCAGTAAGGTAAGGGAGATTGGAGCCTTGATGGCAGATTACCCCCTTTACCTTTTATTTTTTTAAAAAAAAAAAGTCTCTTTACGTCTGCATCCTAAGTTCGTACCAAAGGTTGCAATTGGATTTTCATCTTAACCAATCAATCCATCTAACAGTATATTTTCTGAAACCTCCATTGTTCTCAGCAGGAGTCCTCTTTTCATATTCTGGATGTTAGAAAGGCCTTGGCCTTCTACCTGGATAGGACTAAGCAGTTTAGGAAAGCTCCTAGACTGTCTGTATCCTTTGCGGATAGATGTGAGGGGGCCCCTGTTTCTGCTCAGACTTTTGAAATGGGTATCAGGCTGTATCTCTACCTGTTGTGAGTCTGCAGGTGCTCATCCCCCTTCCCCCCGGGGTTAGAACACATTCAACCAGATCACAGGCAACATTTGCTGCATTTTTGAAGAATGTTCCATTATTCGAGACACACAGAGCCACTAATTGGATTTCAGACCATATGTTTTTAAAGTTTTAGACCCTGCTTCATGCCATCAGATCTGTTGCGACACTTGGCTCTGCAGTACTGTCTTCAGTTTTGGATCCTGTTCTGAAACTTTCCTCCTAGAATAGTGCTCAGAAATCACCTGAAGTGAGGCACCCACAGGCACAATTCTCAATGAAGGAGGAAATGTGTGTCCCTATGGGTGCTTTGCTATTGGCTCTCCTTCCCCTCTGCTTCAGTTGTTCCCTAGGGGATGACTGAATAGAGAAGGACCTGAGGGCAATTTGTTCACACACCTTTATATAGTCTCAGCCTCTTCCACGAGGAGACAGGGCGCATGTGTGGGTCGAATGGACACTGCTAGCTAGAAATTGCCTATTGAAGGCTCGAGAGGTACATGTGCACCTGAAATGCAGTACACATAGGAACACTCATCTCAAAGAACTACAGTTAGTGCATAGGTGAGTAACATTTCCTTCTATATAACATTTGGTTCTTTTTAATTTATTTATTTTTAAAACTAAAATAATTTGAGAAATTTGGGCACAGTGGAAACAGAAGTCCATTATCTACAGAACATGACAGCATAAAAAGTGTTGTTAATATGGGTCAATTTGTCTCCCCTATTATCTTTAAAACAATTCTTAATAGATGCAAGTAACTAAAAAATCCTATAGAAAACTCACCTTGACTGTACTTGGGTGAATAACCTACACAAATAAGTATATCCAATACACGATAAATATTTCTTAAATCTAATTGTTGTTGCCACCTGAAGTGCCTGTTACCGTTCATGACCTGTGAAATAGTAAAGAGAGACTATCTAGTTGCTCCCTCCTCTTATATAAGTCTGTCAGTTCTACTGCCACCTACTAAATACTCCACCAAACAGCTATGTACTAATACATTTAACCTGTTTCTCTTAGTCTCAGAGTGAAAAGGTCAGATCACACTGGCCAACATCATTACCCTCTGGTGATGGATACTCTGCTGTGGGGACTCACAGATTTGTCCAAAAGGTGAGATGTTTCCCAGGATCTTTTTAGAGAGTACTTATTGTAAATAAAATCATATTTCCATTTTAACTAATACATTTGTCATACGGATTGGTGAGATCTAATTTATAGATGTTTCTAGTAACTTTGAACACGTCACTCATTGGAATTGACATATCCAGGGTTGGAGAGGACTTTTTCCTTGAAAAAAAATCTTTGAGCGTCTATTTTAGAATATTCCTGATATGTAGCAAGCATGTCATAGTTTGAGATAAAAAAAAAATTATGCCAGAAACTTAATAATCTTTAAATATGCTTTTTCTTAAATATAAAATCATTAAACTAGTTAAAAGAAAAAAAGCTAGGTTTTTTAATCAGGGTTGATTTTGACCTTTTTCAATGTTACTGGAAACACTTTTTTTTTTCAGGGCCATGTTGGGAGTATAATATATAATAGTTGCATGAAATCAGCTTTTGCTGCTGTGCTTGCTGCTTATGGTGCTTTTGTTTTCCTTTTCTTCATTATCTTGTGCTTGGAAGTTGGTACTGAAAGCTCTGTTGTGCCTTTGTTCTGATTACTTGATTTTTTTCTTTGTCTGTCTCTGGTAGCCCTATAGTCGCTCTTCCTCCATGTCTTCCATTGATCTAGTCAGTGCCTCTGATGATGTTCACAGATTCAGCACCCAGGTATTGTAAGCATATAGTGGCTTTGTATATCATTTTGCTGTAGTTCATCTTCTCTCTAACCTGGGTTCCCTTTGTTCCATAAATCACTTGTGCTTGTTTTAGATGAGTACGGATAGACACATACCAAGGAATTCTCTAGTCCTGTTACTGAAAGATTGTCTTTTTGCATTCTGCTTGCATCTATATCACTCTTGCAAGGGCCTGAATCTTAGAAATAATGAGGATTAATATCTGCAGAAAAAATGTGTAACTTCAAGATCCCACATTTCTGATGTAATAACTTAAAATAATAAAAGTGAAATAACAGCTGTGTGGGATGGAGATAAATTTGACTTTAAAATGAAGGAGAGTTGTTATGTTTGCATGTAAATCATTTATTCTAAGTGTTTAATTTCCCAATCTTTTTCACATATTTAGTTCATATATCTTGTAATGACCATTAAGAAACTAAATCTTTCTACAGTCCAACGGTACTGTTTGCACCTCTGAGACTTTTTGTAATTCAGCACTAAAAGTGTATGCTAGACTTTATTGGGCATGCACAGTTTGAGTTTGGAACCTTTTTTTAAAATATATTTTATTATACCTATTTGTGGCAGATTCACTAAGGCATGCAATACCAAAGCTAAAATACACTTTTAGATCTGTATAAGCAAGCCAAACATTTTAATGGTCTCCTGGAAGTGTTCAACGGACAAGCTATTCAAAGAAGCAATGGGGAAAACAGTACGAAGATAATAACAATACACCCTTCTGACAATTAAGCAACGGAAGGAGGACTGTTGGACTTCATCAAAAAGCTGACATATTGCTGTCATATAGGCTGGTCTACAGCTTTTAACCATGGCCATGGTATAATTGCTCAATACACCTGTTTTAATAAGCCCTACCAAGAGCTTCCGGGCCAAATTTTTAACAGTATTTAGGCATTGCTGTGCTCAGCATTGCAAAGCATAATTGATTTAGGAGCCCAAGTTTAATTTCCAAAAGGGGTTTAGGCACTTAGGAACCAAATCCCTTTAACAGTCAATGCCTAAATACCTTTAAAAAATCTGGGCCTTAGCCCTTATATTGTTAACAGCAAAGATTGAAGGATGGGCTGCGGACCCATTTTGATGAAAACTTGTTAGTGTCTAGACGAGTAGGGGGCTGTAAATTTTGGAAGAAAATTAGTAGTGTCCATAAACTTAAGAATTTTGAAAGATAAAATAGTGAAGAACTTACTGAATTCCCAGACTTGCCATTCCCACAACTGGGTTTTCCCTCTGCTCTCCATTACTAGAGGCAGAACCAGATCTGTTGGTCATCAGGAAGACAACTTGGCTCTTCTTCAGAATGTGCAAGCCAGTGAAAATACTTCCAAAACTGAAAAACAGTGTAATATTATGTGTGTGTATGTAATAAACTTTCCTTGAATAAGTGTGTCTTCAGAGCATTGTAACAGTTTTCATTAAACTAAACTTGTTCATCCAATTAATGGACAGATTGGAATGACCAATCTGGATATTCAGTGAAGAGAAATCATCATCAGGCATCAAATTTCTCACTCATTTCCAGGCTCCCTATTCCTACTTGTTCATTCCTGGCTGGTGTCGCTATACACACTGGGGCAACACCACTTGGGCATAGTTGTCACACTTCCCCCATCTGTGATCGCTTCCCTTCTTTGTTGGTTGGACCCGCTGGCAGTATGTGCAGGAGTCCCATTCTCAAGACCCCCACCATCGATGTCTCTCATCACAGATGCTTTGGCGATAGACTTGGGAACTCACTTCGGGTCTCTCAGAACTCAGCCTCTGGTCTCCAGAAGAGTTCTTGCTACACATCAACATCAGGGAGCTCAGGGCAGTTCACCTAGTCTGCAGTGCATTCCAACCCCACATGGAGGGCAAGTGCGTGTCAGTTCTTGTAGACAACACGAGCGATGTTTTATATAAACGGGCAAGGTGGAGCAGTGCGTTCCTCTCACTGGTGAGGGAAGCTCTTCACTTGTGGGAATTCTGCATAGCCCACTCAATCTGCCTCAAAGCCTTGTATCTCCAGCAGTCACAGTACGAGGAAGCAGATCACCTTAGCAGATCCTTCTCCAACCACCATGAGTGGTCCATCCATCCTGATGTCATAAAAGGCATCTTTCAGAAGTGGGGGACTCCCCGGATAGATCTATTGGCAATGAAAGACAACAGGAAATGTCTTCAGTTTTGCTCCTTCCTGGGTCACAGCCTGGGATTGCTCTGATGCCTTTCTCCTCCCTTGGATGGATCATCTCTTTTATGCATTCCCTCCCATCTCTCTCATACACAAGGCCTTCCTAAGGGACAGACAAGGTCTCATCCTGATAGCCGTGGCCTGGCCATATCTGCACTGGTTCACCATCCTTTTAGAACTCTCGGTAGAAATGCCAATCCATCTGTCTCAGTTTTCAGACATGATCTCTCAAGACTACAGCTGTCTACATCATCCAAACCTTGAGTCCCTTCATCTCATGGCCTGGAAGCTCCATGGCTGAACCCCGCAGAGCTAACGTGCTCTGGGACTGGTCGCAAGGTGCTTTTAGGGAACAGAAAAATGTCCGCTAGAGACACTTATCTGGCAAAATGGAAAAGATTCTCTATCTGCTCTATGCAGAAGTGAGTTTCACCTACACAGTCAACACTTCCGTTCATTTTAGATTACTTATACCACTTGAAACAACAAGGCCTAACCATGTCATCTATTAGGGTCCATCTAGCTGCAATCTCGGCCTTTCACCCATGGATGAACAGCCGTTCTGTTTTCTCAAACTTCATCTATAGTCTATTTCTTAAGGGCCTGGAGAGATTATACCCAAAGGTACAGCAGCCACTTCCTCCCTGGGACCTCAACTTGGTGTTGGCAAGGCTAACAAGGCCTCCATTTGAACTGCTGGCAATGCACTCTCTGCTCTACTTGTCTTGGAAGGTGGCCTTCCTGGAGGCCATTACTTCTGCCAGAAGAGTCTTGGAGGTCCAAGCCCTTACTTTGGAACCACCTTATGTGGTCGTCTTCAGGGACAAGGTTCAATTGCAGCCACATCCAGCCTTCCTTCCAATTCCATAGTAACCAGGATATCTTCCTACCGGTCTTCTGTCTGAAACCACACTCCACTCTCTGGATGTGAGGTGTGCACTAGCCTTCTGCATAGAAAGGACTAGATAAATTCAAAAATAAGCTCAGCTTTTTGTAGCCATTGCAGACAGAATGAAAAGCCTTCCAGTCTCGGCCCAGAGAATTTCATCGTGGATCACTTCATGTATCCGCACATGCTACGACCTGGCAAAAGTCCCCTCTCCTGCCCTGACGGTACAGTCTACCAGGGCTCAAACATCTTTGGCAGCATTTGTAGCTCAAGTTCCTATCCAGGACATCTGTTTAGCGGCAATGTAGTCATCGGTTCACACTTTCGTGTCTTGCTATACCGTCACCCAGCAGACTAGAGATGATGCGGGTTTCAGACACTGTGGTATTACAGTCAGCATGCCTAAGAACTCCGAACCCTCCACCTGCACAACTGCTTGGGAGTCACCTACTTCGGAATGGACTGAGCAAGCACTCGAAGAAAAAATTATTACTAACCTTTCATAACTGTTGTTCTTTGAGATGTGTTGCACATGTCCATTCCAAACCATCAACACCCCCTGCCTGTCCCTCTGTTGGAGTTAGCCAGCAAGAAGGAACTGAGGGATCAACGGGGCGGCAGGACCCTTTATACTGGCGCTATGAGCGTGTCATACCGGGGCATTGGAGCTGACCCAACAGATACCACTGAGGAAAAAACTTTCTGGTGGTGGTGCTTGGGGTGAGCACACACCTGCTTTGGAATGGACATGAGCAACACATCTCGAAGAACAATAGTTACAAAAGGTTAGTAATTGTTTTTTAAGCCAGGGTGATCCGATTCCATGCTTCATCTCTTTCCTATGCACTGGAATAGTTTGCTCTTGTGTCCTTAATGTCTCTTTAAAAAAAAATGCCAACTCTCCTGAACTTTTTTCTTTAAACTTGTTTCCCACACAATCTTACTTATCAATTCTGAGTTTGCTGAAGTCCATTTTCTTCAGTCTGCTGTTCTCCCTCCTACCATTCCTTAGAATCATGAACTGTATCTTTTCATGATTACTTTCTGTCAAACTGCCTTCCACCTTCAAATTTGCATGCATTTCTTTCCTATTTGTCAGAATCAAATCTAGAATAGCCTCTCTCCTAGTTGCTTTCTCCACTTGCTATAATAAAAAGTTACCTCCAAGAACTGGTTGGATAATCTACCTTGTGCTATATCATTTTCCCAATGGATGTCTGGGTAGTTGAAGTCCCCCATCACCACCAAGTCCTGTACTTTGGATGATTTTGTTAGTTAGTTAATAAAAGTTTCATCCACCCCTTCTTCCTTATTAGGTGGTCTATAATAGACCCCTACAGTGACATCATCGTTGTTTTTTACCCCTTTTATCCTTACCTGGAGACTTTCAATAGGTCTGCCTCCCACTTCTATCTCTACCTCAGTGCAAGCGTCGATATATAAGGCAACACCTCCTCCCCTTTTCCCTCTTCCTGTCCTTCCTGAAAAAGCTGTACCCTTCTGTACCAATATTCCAGTCATGTGAATCATCCCACCAAGTCCCTGTGATGCCAATTATGTTGTAATTGTGATTATTTACTGTTCCTTCTAGTTCTTCCAGACTATTCTCTATCTTCCTTGGATTAGTATGCAGAAATCTAAGATGTTCATTAGATTTCCCAACTGTATTCCCTCTTGTTTCTCCTTTGCCCCAGCTTTAATTGCCCCTCTTCCTCCCCCCCACCCCCAAATTTCAACCCTTCACCCAGGTCTCCATGTTCTGGACTTACCTGTGGACTTTTGTCTCCTGCCCCCATCGAACTTCGTTTAAAGCCCACCTCACTTACTTAGCCAATCTGTTACATTGTTCCTTAAATATTATCTGTACAAAAATCTCACAATGATTATGAATCTTGATAAGTTATGTGCTTTCAGTACAGACCCTACATGCTACCCTTCACAAATAAATATCATGAAAGTATTGTATTAGGTGTAGTGTGTGTCTCAGGTCTTAGACAGAAGTAGCTTGTAAAGAACAGTGAACCTTGAGCCAGTTGGCACCACTAGACCTCTGTTTTCTGAATTCTGTGGAATGCTGTGTTACTTCTGGGAGTGAAGACTGAATTGAGTTGATTCCTTTTACTGTGGAAGGTACAGTACTGAGATTCTAGCAATAATGCGTCCAGTTCAAACATTGTGTGCACAAGTGATGATTACTAGAAAGGCTGCTTTGATAATTAAGAACAGAAAAACCGAAATACAGTTCAAACAGTGGTCTGGTATTTGCACCTACGACTAAGTTTAAATCTGAAAGGAATATTCAGAGTTCTCAGAGAATTAACCAAAGATGCTGCCCTCAGAAATCACTGGAGTTACGGATGAGACACAATCCAACGTTGCTAGTTAACTTACGCTATTGAAGAAGTAGATGAAGAATGCTTTCTGAGCATGTTAGTTTTATGGCCCCCTTCTAGGTTTCAAGGGACCTTTGCTGATCTTAGATAATTTTAGTTGTGCACCATGCTCTAAATTTTGATTGGATTTTATAGAGTATTTGGAATTTGTAAATTGTTTAGACTTGGAAGGGTTAGATTTTTATTGCTAATATCGGTAAATGTCAATTTCACCATGCACACACAAAATGATAAATATTTCCATTGATAATTGAAATTTACAGATAGGCAAAGTAAGAAAAATGCTGCTTGAGAACTTTAGTTTGATTTAAGGATATTTACTTTGTCAATATCACATGTCAAAATGTACAGTGTGTTTTAAGAGTTATAAAGCTTTAAGTTTTTTAATCTCTACATCTACTATCATTAAATAATAGTCGGACACTGCCCTCCCCATTTCCCACAGCTGTGAAAAGTTAAATGAATAAAAAAAAGTAAAAATGCTAAAAATATCATTAATGTTATCCATCAAAATTATTTTTAAAAAAATCTAATTTGGCCAAGCCTAATTATCTTCTTGAAGCCAGTAAGGTTTCCATTACTCTAGAAGAATTTCTTCAATTATTTGCATTAATTATCAATTACCTAGCTGACTCTTAGTGTCCAGAAGTTTTAGAGGACCTTTACGTAGAAAATCTGCCCACTTGAAGGTTGTAAATGGTGTCCTGGAAAGAAGAGATGGGGTGGAATCGTGTCTAGGAAACCTGTTGCCCAAGTCTAGGAAAGGGTGGCCTTTCTGCCTGAGTTATAAAGTGAAAGGAGGACAAACTTTTCTTTGTCAGTTAGTTTTAACGAAAACTTTGTGGTCTGGTCTCTCATCCTTCCCATATCACTCGTTTTGCTTCCACGGAACATCTATAAATCAGCACTGAACTTCCATGAAATATAGTCCTCATTGCATACAGTGTTTCCTTATTTGTTTGAGAGGCTTAACATTTAAAGTGTGATTCAGGGTACAGTTACCTCCTTTCCTGATCATGAGTGTACAGCCCAGAAGGTACATAGTACAAAAAAAGCCTTCTTTATTTTAAAATAAAATATAAACACAACCTTTTTTGTTTCCATCTCAAGCAAATTAGAAAAACACATTAATAAATATTCCTTTGCTCATGCCTCCATGTAAACTTGTTATAATGTACTTCATTTGATAAATGCCTTTATTTGACAAGTGGCATTTGTTTGTGTATAAAGAAATGTCTTTCTACATCATACACAAGGTATTTATGCCCTAGTGTTGCTAATTTTATTCATGATTGTGTACTGCTTAAAGTACCAGACATACAATGTAATACCTTGTTTATTTTTTAATCAAGATATATATTTTCAAATAAACATCCTTTAGTCACTACCTCTGTAGGATTGACAGACATTGCAAATTACACATTAATCTGCAGGTGTTGTAACACCTATTTTGAGTATTCACTTGTTTTTAAATTACACACAAAAAACTGAAGCAAACTTTTCTACCATGTTATAAAACGTATCTGTGAAGTAACTTGTAATATTCTCTCTTTCCTCCATAATTATCTCAGATTATAATTTCAATTGAAAAAGAGCAGGTCTGGAAATGTGATCTGACAGGATTTGGCACCTACATTCCAGGGCAGACACTATAAATGTGTTTAGAAAACTTAAAGGGACCCTTTCAGCCCTGTTCATACCCCACAGCCATATACCTAAAGGATGCTTTTCATACAGACAGAAGGAGTACAAATATGGTAGTGTTTGTGTAGCTTAAAGAATAGATGGAGGTATATCAAGTACATTTTTCTAAAGACTACAGTAATTCACATACATCACAGTGATTTTAAAAGTTTAAAATATTTTTAAATGATGCAAAAACATAAAATTAAAAGATGACTTAATGAAGGAGTGCAAACACGTTGGCAATTAAACTTATTGAGAGTGTCCCTTTAAATCAATCAGCACCCCAGGGTGCTATTGAAAGACCATAGCAGCTTGTGCTAATGCAGAATAGTAAATGTTCAACATGTCACATGTTCTTGGTTTTCCTTCACTACAGCCTATAAAGCTTTTGAGACATCTGAATGCTTACAATATGGATTTAACTTTCTAAGCGTAGAAAACTAGTGGCTTTGATCAGTTTTTTTTATTGCTCAGGTTCTTAAATGCTGTTCTTCATTAAATGTAAATTTTCAAAAAAAAGTCCTGCACTTCAGTGTGATTCTGTTTATTTAGGTACTTATAATGGCCAATATCTCTGTAGGATCAGAGCACCTCTTAAATATGCATCCGATGAAGTGAGCTGTAGCTCACAAAAGCTTATGCTCAAATAAATTTGTTAGTCTCTCAGATGCCACAAGTCCTCCTTTTCTTCTTAAATATTGTAATAGAGGTAATCTCTCTTCCTTCCCTATAGGTAGAAGTAAAACTTGAATAGTTAATACAATTATTCAACTGTTAAAGGTGGGGGTGAAAGAGATGGGGATGGGTGGGAAGTGCTTGTGCGAAGATTCATTTTATTAGGGATCAGTTTTGCTTTTGGTTCTGAATGCTGCAAGGCCTCTGCTAATTTAACCTTCACTGGTTTTTTTGTTCCATTGTCTATGTCCAGCTCATGCACTAGATCTATTGCTAGTATTTTATAGTGGCTTCAGATATTACTGTACAGTGCCCTGAATGTGCTGGCAAGAAGGTGGCAGGAACCTTTATAAATGTTGCATATTTTTTTTTCCTCTAAAGGTGGAAGAGATGGTGCAGAATCACATGACTTACTCTTTACAGGATGTAGGAGGAGATGCCAATTGGCAGTTGGTGGTAGAAGAAGGTGAAATGAAGGTAAATAAAATTGCGTTGCACAATATTTTATAACATTTTTGAATTTATATAAAATGTTACACTGAAATCTGTCTGTCATGTTAATACTGATATAGGCCCATATTCTGATACCCTTACTCCACACGTAGTCACATTGATTTAAAACATGACTATTTGAGTAAGGTACTATCGATGAGATATACAAGGATAACCATTTTATATCTTTAAGTACACACAGTATTCTTTATGACTTCATGCCAGACATTTCATTCCTGTGCAGAGGGAGGTCACTTTCCTTTATCACCCTCTCTTCCTGAAGGTCCCATATTAGACTGGCTTGGGCTAGCTGGAGTGAGAATCTACTCCACACTAGCCTGCCATGGACTAACTGCTTGGACTATGCTGACACGCGTTAACAGTTTTGTTATTGCTCTTTCATCTAGGCCTCATTGAAATGGGGCTATCTCAAAGTGCATTAACAAACTATTTTTCTTCAAATGGCTTTGCATATACATACTTACAGGTACTATACCACTTTGTGGTGTCTTGCAGTAGAACCTTCTTCTAGCAGTGTCAGCTAGAGCCATGTCACGCACCCCTCTCCTGAGCAGCACTGACTTTCTGAGGGCAAGTCTAGATAGGGAGCTCAGTTCCTTCCAAGCACGTGCTTGGAAGGATGTGAACATTTCTGATGTCTTCAGAGCCGGAACCTTTCTCCTCTTCGTTAGTGTTAGCTTTGTTAGTATAGTTAGTGTTATTCCCGGTTATGGTAGAATTGAAGAAACAGAAGAGGCTGGCATTTAAGAGTGTGTTTCCTGCCCAGTTGTCTTCCTAGCATCTGATGACCACATGTGGTGCTTCAAAAGTTTCGGTCAAGAACATTTGCTTTCTGGGTGTTCAGTTTATCAGACCTTTTTTCCCAAAGCCCACAAGGATAAGGTACTCATTTGGAGCTTCTCCTTCTCAAGGAAGCTCACAATGCTAGACTCTCCTGATCTAATCAGTCCTCCGATCCAAGGTCGAAGGGTAAGTCTACACTATAGTTAAACACCCGTGGCTTGCCCATGCTAACTGACTCAGGCTTTAATTGCAGTATAAATGTTCAGGCTCAGACTGCAGCGTGGCCCCTAGAATCCTGCAAGTTGGAGTGTCCTGAACACATGGCAATTAAACAGCCTGTTAGCTTGAGCTCTGCGAGCCCAAGTCAGCTAGCATAGGCCAGCTGCAGGTTTTTAATTGCAGTGTAGACATACCCTGAGAGGCCAGCCTCAGCTCCTGGGGCTTCCAGTAGCTCCCAGTAACTAAAGGATTCCAAGAGGCCACAGCCTCTGTCAGGGCTGGATCAAGTCCCTGTAACTCCCTCAGTCAAGCCCCCAAGGCTTCACATGTCTGAACCAAGGGCCACCTGGCCAGATCCGACTGCCTCGATTCCGCAAGAGATGTTGAGAGACAGTTTGGCCTCTGTCACCGGTCCTGTACCTCTTGCATCACAGTTACCAAACCCTGATGGAACCCCTCCGGCTGCAGCACCAGAGTCTGTTCTGACTTCCACTTCCAAATCTGGGAAGATGGACTCGATTCATGTGTCAGAATCAGGGCTGTCAGTGCCTTTTAATTCTGTCTGTCCTGGCATCAAAGAAAGAGGCATAGGGACAAAACAGCTGCTGTTAGCAGTGGCTGTTCCCATGCATCAGAACTTTTGGATCCATCAATTCTGACAAGGCTATAACATCTCCAAAGTGTTACCCACACACATTCTCTGTTACACACACACACACACACACTAGGGCACCCAACTTTACCTATTTCCCAGGGCTCAAAGCATAACCTACTTGATTTAGGCACCGCTGTCCTTTCCCAATTCCTAGGGTTCAGGGCATACTCTTTGTGGGTTTGCAGGACCTTTTTACAGTGAAAGAGCCTTACACAGTAATATCTTTATCCTCTGTTTGTTAACAATTACCAAGCAAAATACACGTGCTAAGCATACAGTGATATGCTCACGAATCCTGATCATGCAGGCAGACTTTCTCTGTTGGCCAGGCAAGGTCAGTCTCGTCTGGATTCTGGTTGCTGCACGTCACAGTCGTGCAAAGGATTCTTAGCAGCTCTGATCTTAGGCTGTGTCTTAGAAGTGAGTTCCTGTTCTTCTTCATCCAGGTCTTTCCTCCTCCTCCTCCTCCCACCACCACCACCAGCTGGTCTCCTTGGATCCCAGTTTATATAGTGAAACTTGAGTCCTGCTTAGCTATACCTTAACCAATCATTTTATTAAAATATTATTAAACAATTTTCTAACTAATCCTAACCTATTGTAAAACGATTATTTAACCAATCATACCCCACCACCTTAATTGATTTACACCTAGCAAAATTAATTACGTGACAGACGGAAGCAATCAAAGAACCAGACAAAGACCATACAGATAAACAATAGAGAAGTGGGGACCATAAAGACAAAACAATAAAGAAATGGGGATTTCACAACCACAGCTATTGATAAGTGATTTCTTGCCAGACAGAATACTATCAAACTAAGTTTTCTTTAACCATCTTAAGATCTGTTTCTTTATCTGGCGATGGTAGGTAGTATTAGGACAGGATCGCCTTCTTAACAACCCGATATTACAATGTTTTAATGTAATTTAGATGGAATGTGAGAACGTGACTCTGCTTCTTAGCTCATGTCTACTGCTCTCTTAATATGGCTGCAGACGAACGCCTCAGCCCTTACAATATGGCTACAGGAAAAGGCCTTATCCTTAAAAAAGAGGGACCCATTCCACCACCAACTTCAGTAACAAGGGAGATGGATTTGCATATGATGTTGGATCTGATATCCGCTTCTTCGGATTGGTTTTCGGTTCCTGGGTTGGTTCCAGCTTCATCCTCCGTTTCGGAGAGCGCTCTCACGATGGTAGCCCAAATTTACTTTCAAGTCCAGTGTGTTCATTGCTTCAGAGCATGAAACACAAGGTTTCCACAAGGAGACCTGTTTCCCCAGTTCCAAGAACGTTCTTGCCTTCTTCTGTTAGGAAGAGGCCAGAACACATTATGCTTCCTTCTCCTAGGATCCCTACAAGGTCCCCACAAAGAACTGGATCTCCATACTTCCCTCTGGATCCACTGATCCCCGGTGCATTCTGTCTTGGATCCAGACCCATATCTTTACCAGGAGGAAGATAGAAGAAGAATGTGGAGACCTGTGGCTCTATTTGTACCACCTGTGGTCTGCCACCTGCAGGCATGTTCCCAAACCCCCATTGCTGGAGAAACTGGCAGTCCTGGTGCCTTATTGTGGGCCACCTCAGGAATTTCTCAGTTAGCCTCTATGTGGAAGGAGAGGTAATGTTTCATCTGCAAAGGATCTGGCAGTCCAGAGATCCTCGGATCCAGCCCATCTGGATTATGTACAGTGATGCCTGAAATGCTGTCAGGAGGAGGAAGACAAGGAAGTAGCTCCCTCTTCGAGCAGGACCATTTGGAAACAGATTGTGAGTGCAATTTACCCCTGGATGAACGTGTGGGGGTGCCTTTGGCCTCCTCTTCTTCCAAGGACCCATGTACATAGGAGCCGCATGGACAGTTAGTCCACCGCAGGTTAGTGCTAGTTCACACCCCAGCTTGCACAAAATGTTCACATGTACAAGCCCCTCTTCTAGATGTAGAGATTTGGGTATATTTACCTCTGGTGTCATAGAATCATAGATATGTCAAAAAGAAAAGGAGTACTTGTGGCACCTTAGAGACTAACCAATTTATTTGAGCATGAGCTTTCGTGAGCTACAGCTCACTTCATCAGATGTATACCGTGGAAACTGCAGCAGACTTTATATACACACAGAGAATATGAAACAATACCTCCTCCCACCCCACTGTCCTGCTGGTAATAGCTTATCTAAAGTCAGACACCAGACCTGGCTATGGTGATCCATGGATTCATGACCTCCAGGCTTGCTTAATGTACCTCTTACTATGAATGAAGCCAGATTCCCTGAAAAAACTCTAAACTAGTACAAAATGCAGCACCCATTCTAAGCAACATGAGTTGCTGTGAGCAAAACACCATTGGGCTCATTAGCTTCTTAATGAAAACAGAATCTAGTGTAAGGTCTCTATCTTGATCTTTAAAGTCCATGAGACTGGCCTTGGCTTCTGGAGATCATTTCCCCATACATATCCATGACCTTTCATTGGGATTTTATTCCACTTGCAAAGTGAAAGTGTTCTTCATTAGGGGGAAACTCTTGAGCATAGGAAATAGAACTCTCACGGTAATGGAGCCAAGGTTTTCAACTTTCTGACAGAGGTAAAAATGGCCAGTAACCTGAACACACTTAAATAAATGTAAAATTTATTTTTGACTTTACTCACCCATTGGCCCCTGTCTTTTCCGGGGGGGGGGATCCAAAACCTTAATATTAATCAAAAATTTACTCCTACCTGTTACAAAAGGGATACTTTATCTTTAGGTACTTTGTTGGTGATCAGATACTGTGGTGGAGCGGATATCAATAATAGAATTTGAATGGACAAATTCCTGTTTTAAGTGCTGTGGAGTCCTCAAAAGTACATGCTCACTGATATCCTAGAATGCTCCATTCTGAAAGGTCACAAATACCCCAAAATTGGATGGCAATATTTCTTTAGCTCTGAAGGTGCCTCTTATTAGATGAAATACTTGTTCTAATAATTAAATAAGGTTAGAAAAACATACCATGTACAAAAAATTATAATGGATTGGCTCAGTAATACAGCGAAATATTCCTGTATCAGTGACTTCCACGAAATTCTGCAAACCTGGAATCAGCCAGATGACTTTGTGGCGCTTCCTGTATAGTGTCCAGCATAGTGTGATCATATTGGAGCACATAGGTACTAAAGTATTTCAGATACTATACTATCAGCTTTTAAAGATTAAAGAAAAACAAATTAGTTTCCATCTCTCTGGTGAATATCCCAGACAACCTGGTTAGTGGGGACATCCTTGTCAGGTCCTCAGATAACACTGAGTGTGGTATAAGACAGGGCTGACTCTGGCTTTCTTTTTCTGCAGGTCACCTAAGCATTTCATAATATATTTTGAAATAACTGTTTTCTTGTCCCTTTCTCTCCCTCTCTTACTCCCTTCAATTCACCAAGTTGTAGTCAGATCTGTGGTAACTGGATTTCCCTCTGCTGTTAGGGCAGCCTTTAGTTATTTCTTTTAATCTTAGTACTGCATCCAGCACATTAGCATGAAAAATCAGTCTTGCAGAATTTTTCTCTTACCCCTTTAAGTACTGGATTATATTAATGTTTAGCTTCTTTGATTATCTATTTTAATCACTGACATATTTCCTTCCTAAACATAGCCTTTTTATAAAATATTAAACCATTCAAATAGCATGAATATTCTGTTTAAAAAAAATAATCCACTTTGCCTAGGATTGTTCAGTCATTCTTACTGATGTTTGATGTAACTTTGTTAAATGGACTGTCAAATTAGATTCTCAGGAAGAAGCACAACAAAAATCCAAAGCAGTTTTAGCCTTTTCTACTGTGCATTTCTTTTGTGCTATTTTGTATTTGCCTAAAGGTGTACAGAAGAGAGGTGGAAGAAAATGGGATAGTCCTAGATCCTTTGAAAGCCACACATGCAGTCAAAGGGGTTACGGGACACGAGGTCTGCCAGTACTTCTGGAATGTTGATGTTCGTAATGACTGGGAAAGTAAGAAATCATTTTTTTTAAGTCATGACTGTTGGTTTGAATGTTTAAAACCTTTACCTAATTTATGTATGTTTATGCTTGTACACTGATCTAGTTCTTTTATTTTTAGCAACCATTGAAAATTTCCATGTTGTGGAAACTTTAGCAGATAATGCAATCATCATTTACCAGACACACAAGGTAACAATATCTTACATTTATATAGCACCTGACATCCAGAAGGATCCCAAAGCACTTTATATAGAAACTGCTGTACCAATCACTAAATATAGTCTCCTCTATTGTGAAACGTTGCAGCTGTTTAACAGCACTATACAAAAGTTTAGGACAGGAAGTGAAGAATTCTGTACCCAGTTGCATTTTCCTCAATTTGGAATTTAACAAAGATGGCAGAATTATCACTCTTAGCCTTGCATGTATGTCATGGAGACTTTAGGGTCCATGCTTTCTTTTACATCTCTTTGAAATAATAGCACCTCCATCATTAGTGTGTCTCCTAATGCCAGGTTGCAGTATTGGATCACTAGTAACTCCAGGGAAGAGTCCTGAGTCATCAGAGTCATCAAGACCACTTCCTGTAACACCATGGGTTTTTATTTGAGGTAGTCCTGACCATAGCTGACCCCACACAGTTTGAGAGAACTGACAAGGTTACATTCTGAACTGGTGTGTTACAAGTACAATATTCACTTTGTAATCTTGTTTAATTAGTTCCTATGCAAACATTTGTCAGGATGCTTGTTCGTATTATGTGCTACCCACAGAGTCTGCGCCGAACATTTAATATTAATAGCTTCTGATTATTAGAGAAGAGTCTGAATCAAAATCCTGAACAAACTTTAAGATGGCTGAGATCCAGAACAAATTTTTTTCTTGGATCCAACTCTACCAATAATACACTTTGCCTGAAAGCTGCCAGGAGAGAATAATCTACTATTTATTGGATTGTGTAGCAAGTCTGGCTGTATAGTATTATGAAGCACTCTAAAGACGTTGATTAATTGCCAGTATTTATATAAAATATCAGGAAAGTGGCTTCTGTAATGCCACGTTTTATCTTGTAGCTATTCTGCTTCTAAAACTTTTTTTTCTTGGAAAGTGACATAGTTTGTCATACCCTCCTTTAGCGTTCCTACATAATATATTACTGAATCAATAGTTCTTGCCATTTAAATATTACTTACTGTTCAAAATATGGAGTCCTACTAATGGTGGATAGGTCTATATATTACATATACCATGGAGTTCAGTTTGGTGACTCAGACACCAAACCATACAAAACCTAGATCTGATACTGGAAAACCCTGAAGGAGCTGCCTATATTTGTTGTTGTTAAAGGGTGACTAACCTGTTGTGTGAGCTGGCACATCATCTCTCTTCATAGAACGCGAGAAAATTTTATCCATTTTTTTAAAATCAGACCAACAGAGATGGACATGAGCAGAATAAATTTAGCTCTGGAACCAAACATAAGAATGCTTGAAATAGCTTATATCCCATTTCAAATATTTTGAAAAAGGAAATGGATTATCAACTGTTACTGAGCTTGAAGAAACTTTCTACTTGATTTTGTCAAACTTGAATTTCTCTACAATAATATGGCTATGGCCATATCATTTGCCAGATTTGTAATTGATGACTTTAGGCTGACATCTGGGCAGTAAATATTTTAACTTTTTTTTAACAATCAGCTACTCTCTCTCCCTGCAGAGAGTGTGGCCAGCTTCTCAGCGGGATGTGCTGTATCTGTCTGCTATTAGAAAGATACCAGCGTTCAGTGAAAATGATCCTGAAACTTGGATTGTCTGTAACTTCTCTGTGGAACATGATAGCGCCCCTGTAAGTAATTCCTCTGAATATTATCAAACTGTGCATTCAGAATTTTTTAATCCAAAATCTTAAATGCATCACACTTCATAAAGCTGTCACCTTATTCTCTTCTAAATGCTTCCTTAAAAATCCACCTTTGCCATGATGCCTGCAAATAATCACTTTCTCGTATTGGTTAGACAAGTGGAGAGCTGTGCTTTTCAGTTCAACTCTGTTTTTTTATTAGTTCCCTCCCCGTTCACCCTTACCACATTTTTCTGTTTCATCCAAACATCACAACCTGTCTGACACCGAGACTGTAAGCTCTTGGGGGCAGAGACTCATCTTTATTACTTGTCTGTGCAGTGCCTAGCACAAATCTTGATTGCCGCTACCAAGCATTACTGTAAAGTAAATTAATATTTTGACATTCAGATGTTAGAAATGCTGATAGAGGAAATAAACTTTGGGTAATGCTTATTAAATGTTTAATTTCTTGGCAGCTGAACAATCGATGTGTTCGTGCCAAAATAAACATTGCTATGATCTGTCAGACGTTGGTGAGCCCACCAGAAGGGAACAAGGAAATAAGCAGAGACAATATCCTATGCAAGATTACATATGTAGCTAATGGTACGTATAGATTTGTCAATACAGTATTCTTTACATTACTTCTAGGGGTTGTGATTGCTGGCAAAAATAAAGTTCAGAGTTTTCTGTTAAACTTACTTTTAGATCAACATCTATGAACCTTTTAGTCAAAATCAGAAAGACCTAAGACAGGTGCCGCAGTCACCAATAAATTCAAACATTCACTGTGTGATTGGTTGGGAGAACAGTAGAAATGTCAAATGTGTTGCATCACACAATCATAAATATAGAAAGTGTGTTGAAAAAAAGAAGTTTCAACTCCCCTATTTGAGTTGATTGGCATACATCATACTTTCTTTAGCAGTATACATGTATTAATCTTTTGATGTCAAGTCTGTTATTTCCGTAAACAACCTATTGGCTAGGCTGAGGAGAAGCTGCTGGTAATAAAGGTGTAAAATCTTCTTTCTTTCAAAGTAATTAGCCAAAACAGTGGAAATACATTTGTTGAGCTGGAAAACGACCCCAGGCAGATAGGCTATAGATTTCAGTAGAAATTGAGAATGACAGCTTCTTCCCATGCTGACCAAAATCCTCAACAGCCAAATATAAGATTATCGTCAGTAAACTAAAATTCCTATACATGTACACACATTCAGAGGCCTGCTTGAAAAGAATAATATGGGAACCATGTAACAGTCTGCCACTTTTATGGAAGTGTAGAACATTTCTAACTAGCCTATATATCTTTCATGTTTTCAACATTCTTATCCCCCACTATTAAATAGCATAGTGAAGACTCAATTGTTACCTGCACATCTGAATATTAAATATATTACAGTTCTAATAAGAAGGAAAGGTAAATCTAGTACTAAATTACTTCATAATTGGGTTTCGTAAGTGAAGACACCCCTCCCACCCAAGTATTCTGTGGCAAATTTGATCTGAATTTTGCAGCAGAAACTTCAGTATTGTAGAATCTTCAAGTTTCAAACATCAGTCATGACCTCCATTTATAAATCTAATGAAATATGAAAATAATTAAATCAGTATTCCTTGTGTTAATGTGATGCTGAACTTAATTTTGTGCTGATCCTACATATTTATTTGTCGTTGTACTGTGGGATATCGTATTTAAAATACCATAACTTCATTATAGAAGGTGTTGGGGGAAGCTGGAGGTTTTGACAGCTGGGAGGAAATATTTAGGGCTGCATTGGTTTGCATTTGGTTCATGTTTAGAAGGTTTTTGCAACCACAAGGGCTAGAAACTTTTTTGTAATGAGAGCTTAGTTTCTGAAGCACAGTTGTGCAGAAAGTGGCAGACGCTGACCAGTTGCTTGGCTCCAGAAAAGGAGTACATAGGACCAAAGAGATCCATTTGGACTCAACTTTATGAATGCTTTATAATAAGCAGTCACTAAAAATTGAGAGTGCAGTGGTTGTGCAGGCAAATACAACAGCCATTGAGCGCTCAGCAATAAATCAAATAGCCTTTTGTATAAGAATACATTTCTGAAACTGAAAATGTTGACAAGGATACTGGAGTTGTCTCCTGTTCTTTCTGAAAAATGCCATGAGATTATAGTCTTCCATTTGGACATCTACCAAAGATGGGAAAAAGTAACTCTGTTTTAACAACCTCTCCGAAGGGATGATACCATTAAAAATGGACTGCAATTGGTCTTAAAATCTGGGCTCATGCCCTTTTCTGCTGCTTTGAATATAAAGAGGGCCTGAAAGATACTTTCCCCCATTTTGTTTTACCTTCAAAGTATTGGGAATGCTAATTGTTTTTCCCCGGCTTTGCTAAAGGATCTCCTGAAATGTCTGAGGATGCGTTTTGTTAGCATTCATCCTAACAGGACGGTGAGGGAACGTTGAGTATTAATATGAAAATTTGGGAAGAAGTGATATTAGTGTTAACAAAAGCAAACTCTAAACAATCTGACTAAACTTCCCAGTTGCTCAGCTTTCATTTTGTAGACTCCTATTGCCGTAAGACCTGATCCTATAAGATGATTCATGCAGGTGGACCCCTGCATCTATGCATAGTCCCATTGATTTCATTGAGCCCTGCATGGATTCAGTGGTCAGCCCATGTGGATCCTATTGCAGGATCAGCACTACAGCCTTCCAAGCTAGACAGGACCTGATTTTCTCATGTAAAAAACAAGCAGAATTGTATACAATTTAAAAAACAAAAAAAAACCTTTCATGTCTTCATCACACTCCAAAAAGAAGCAAAATTGGTCAAAGCTGAGGTGTTGTTTTTCCCCCTCTGCGGGTCACTTAATGAAGCAATAGCCCCTAATGTTGCACTGCATTCCTGATAAGATGTAAACAATGTCAAATATATACCTATACTGCACCTATAGTCTCAGTATGAGCTGTGATCCCAAATCCTGATCTGGAATTTGAGCCTGACCTAGTTCAGAAGCAAGAGTGCTATTAAATGACACATTGTGGTTCTATATAACCAGTAAACTGAAATAGTGCTTTCAATCAATATTAAATTACAAATGTTGAATGAGTTATAGTACAGATTTTCTGATGCTCCTAGCTGTTGAACTAGTAGTTATCAAGAAATGTTGACTCTGGATGCAAAGGGATGGATAGTCAATGTTAAACCAATAATTTGTTTTGTCTACAAATTAGTGTTAAGCATTTACTAGTCCAGCTATATATGTGTTTGTTTTAGAGTATAGCTTTTATCTAGTTTTATCTTTATTTTTAGTGAATCCTGGGGGATGGGCACCAGCCTCAGTGTTACGAGCAGTGGCAAAACGAGAGTATCCCAAATTCCTGAAGCGTTTTACATCATACGTGCAAGACAAAACAGCAGGAAAGCCTATTTTCTTCTAGTATTAACAGGTATTTGCTAAACTTTTTGTGGAGTGTTGTCTTCTGTATATATTGTTCTAAATATTAAAATCCAAACAAAAAAGCTAGACCATCTAGAAATGTGTTTATTACTGTAATTATCACAGCTATTGTGAGTTTATCTGTATTTTGAGCTATATGCTAAAGCGAAGTTAATAAACCAATGCATTTTCTACATACATAAAGAAATAATAAGGTTAATACAATTAGTTGACTTCCTACAAAAAAATATAAAGTCTTTGTGCAAATTTTAAAAATGTATTTTTGCATTATAGGTGATTTTCTGAGTTCAGTGAAAATCTTGGTTTAGTATAGGATCACCTACATATTGGACTGAACAGGTTGACATATTATAAAAATGTATATTTTATATTTTTAGCAAACTAGAAATGCAGGTAGAAAGGATCAAGCACTGGCCTTTCTTCAGATAGCTGCCAAAATCAAACCGTTTAATATTTGGTGTCTTTTAGAATAAGATAATGCAGTGTAATGAGTAGTGTAAATAATTTTAAACTTTTGTAAAAACAGAATGTTGTCATTCAAACTGTAGGAGTTTATCCGGTATTCTTTGGGGTGTTGGCCACCTAATAGTTAAAGCAGGGACTTTGAGATAATGTAATAGTTGATATAAGTCCATCACAGTGTTTGACTGAACAATCTCGTTCTTTTACGCTGCCTAGTTGGCAGGATAGTCATGTTTTAGGATGTGTTATAATGGTTCCAATGCAATCTTAGTTGTCATCAGTACTCAAGGGTTTTGGTGGGTATAGTTTTGGATTTTCAGAGTCTTTTTGATACCCCATCCCTACACAGATATATATGTGTTCTCTATGGATATATTTCAATCATAGATATAGTTTATCTGTTCAAAAATGGCATGTGTTAAACATCAGCAAAAACAAAATTATGTGCTAAACCAGGTTTCAGTCATCCTCAGGGCAGCCTGGCTATATTTATATTAATAGCAGACTGGGCCTTCATTTACTGGAAGATCTTAGTATGTACTCTTGTGATGTTAGATTTAGATTACTACACTACACTTCAGTATTCTTCATTATGCGTAAGTCATGTCAAAACAATCCAGTGCCAGCAGTTTATGCAGAATTTGGCAGTTCTGATATTATGGAGAGTTGATAGAGGGTTTTTGCCTATTTGCTGTCCTGATCTCCCATAGTTGCCTATGTTGAGTAGGTTTTATTCAGTGTACAAAATCCTATAAGTCTGGGTCATTTGATCTTCTTTGGTAATGATAGTTTGTCCTTATAGGTTCTAGCTCACAACTTACTTCCGTTGCATTTAGTTAAAGAAGGCCTGTCTGAAAATGTGAATAATTAAAAACTCAAGTGTTTGTCATTATCAAACAAGAAAAATTTGGAGACACAACATTGTTTCTAAATTGTACTTTTGGAATGTTTCATAACTATTTCTCATTTACTTACTAGTGTTCTAAATGTATTCTGCTGTGTCCTTTCCATGTTTCTACAGTGATTGGAACAAGACTGTGTGAACATTCCATGTTGGAGGAAAAAAAACAAATTGAAGGCTCCAAGCTGGAACGTAGGATCTACAGTCTTTTTGTGGCCCAAGTCCTAGGCTTTGTGTTCTGAAGTGAAGAAATACTGCAACGCCGTGAGGCTGAACATCTAACACTAGCTGTCTCCTGCTAGCTCTCCTTGTTGAATCAGTGTGTAATTAGAAATACATGTATTGATACATGTATATGGATATATTTTTATTTGCTTGCTTTAGAGAAGAAAAAAATACAACTTTGAATCACCAACTTGGGTTACTGCTTCAATTTTAAACAATTTGCAAAGCTTTTGTTTACTGTGGCCCTTCATAAGACACTCACACAGTTTTCTGTTTTTGTGCATGTCTAAAAAGCACAAAAGACAAATGCACATATAGCGTACTGTATGTGCTTTATGTGCACAAAAACCTGTGTGTGGTATTTTTTTCAGGTTTGCAGTAAAGTCTAGGTGACCTTTGGGCAGGGGTTTTGTTTTGCTTTGTATAATCATAGTTCATTGCTGCTGGTTTCTATAATGAATCATCTTGTTATGTAAAATGTCTCTTAATTGGGGGCTGTCAATATCCATATGACTTTGCCTTTTCTGTTATCTTACTCCTATGAAGACCTTTGGCTCCGATGGAGGAAGAGTGTGAAAAGCTTTATTTTTTTTCCAAGATATCTTTATATTTCTATTGTATTTTTTAGTTATGTAATTTGTGCTACAGAATTTATTGAACATGATTCAGAAATTTCTAGGTAGATTCTATATGAGAGGACGAGATTGTGCCTGAAAACTACAACAGTACTCTGTCCATGCTACGTTACATGTGGACTGTGGGTTGCATGAAACTACAAGAAGGTACCCTGTAATATTTATTAAAGCAAATTGGACTACATAGGACAACATTCCCAGTCTGCAAATAAGAGCGAGTATATTATTTCCTGGTCCTGCACATTTTTTTTCTCATCTTAATTAAAGCCATGCTATGAGATATGTGTAGAAAATGTGAGTTGTTAATATTTACTACTTGATCAGAAACTTAACAGAGCTATAAGAATCCACAGATTCTAAATGAAAAGTTCCCCTTAGTTGCTGTGAGAACTTGAATGCAAATATCTGCCTGCCTTTGATCTCTGGAAGTAGCCGTGAGGAGTGGACTGTGGGGGCAGAGACTAGTACTCACTTGAGCGGATATCTCGCTTGGTGGCCTTTAGGTAGAGATTATTTAAAGGCATTTCTTGGGCACTTCACTAACTTGTATATGTAGAACAACATAAGATTCAGATATATTTTTTTCAAAAGAAAGCTGAAAGTCTTATTTAATATAGTATTGCAGGTGCCTGGATATAACTACAAAAGAGTAGTAATGAAGAGTTGGCTGATAAATGTCTGATATCTGCACAATGTTGTAAGTGAATTACTCCTTGTGTCTTAGTCTTCTATATAAAGAGGTACAAACACATATATAACACATGGTTACACACATACATGCAGATTTCATGATCTATAAAACTTGTCTCATTTATTTGCCTTTCTCTAAATGGTGTGCATGGAATATGCCTTATTACAGAATAATTCTGTTCTTGATTTGAATATGTAGAAAAGTGCCTATATGGTAATGCTAGTAAGGCAAACAAGATTAAATTGTACATGTTTACTGTATCACCAGTAAGCATTTTATATAGTGATGTTGAAAAGAATTTCTTATACCTCAAATGTTTCATCTTTTTGAAATCAGCTGAAAAATGGTTCATTGACCATAGCCACTAATGGGAACTTTACAAAAAGTCTTATGCCCAAAATACAACTGTTTAACTCTTTATTTGCCATTTCTGGTAACTATCATTGAACACAGGCAAGTAACTGTTTCTTAATTTAAATGGAGAGCTTTATTTTACAAAGGTATGGAAAGTTTACAAAGCAGTATATAAATCTTAATATCATTAGTTGCATTTGCACTAAATGTGATGTACTTTTGCAATTTATTCTGTAAATAAAATTACACTAAAGATACTATTTGTAAAGAATACATTTTACTTTTAGATAAAAACACTGGTCTTTCACTACAGCTAGTCTTGCCCAATCAGAGTTACAAGAAGCTCCTTACTGAATATGGAAAGAGTTGCAGGTTCAAGAGTCATAAGTACTGACCCTTCAAATAAAAGCTTAGTCTGCAGGCTTCTTCTCATGCTGTGTAAATGTATGTTGAGTATCCATTATGCCCTTTCTTCCAGAAGAGATCTCTGAACCTTTTTTGCATTTATGAAATCTCTCTCCTTCCTCCTCCAACACTTGGGCTTTTTTCTGCCAATTAATATGTCACCTTAACTATATGTGTTTTGTTACTGTTGCTGAGCACTAGCCTCAGACTTCAGATTTTCATTTTTGTAAGTTAAAGCAGTTCTTTTTAATTCAGCCTATTCAGAGAATGCAGCAATCTTCTCCTTCAAATGTGATAGTGTCCCTTAACTTCTGTTACCTTGGGAACCTGGATCTGTCACCAGATTAGATCTTCTCCATGACTAGACACAGTTTTTATTGGGGATGAGGGGATCAGGGAAAGAGGTGGTTCAACCAGTTCTCTGAATCTGAATAATTTCTCATAAGTTTCTCTAGAAAAAATGTGATTGCACCTTTTGAGAGGAAATCATCCTTTACCTAATCGGGCTGAGCTGGTTTATCTGAAGTTGTTGGTTTTTCTTTAAACTAACCAAATTGTCCAGTAAAAATCTTTCACCAAAATTTTTGTCACAGTTGTACAGATGAAGCTGTATTTGAATTGCCACTGTTCCTCCACATACCCAAAACATGAATCATATTCTGAGTACCTTGAGTGCATAGCGTGTAGCTGTTTGTTCTGTGATAGCTTTATGATACTGATAAGTTTTAAAAAATTAAAAGTTGACTCTTCCATGTTACAATCACAAATTTAAAACCAAGATTTAAAAGTGAAAAGTATTAAAATATTATGAAAAATAGCTCTGGTTTGTAGTTATTTTTAATACTTAGTGCCTTGAAGAAGTAAAATGTCATACATAGCGTTTTAATAAAACAAGCAAAGCCTTGCATAGTTCTCATTCCTGAGTCTAAGAAATGAGCTTGTAGGAAAGTAGCTATTTTTCATTTACTGTGGCCACCTAGTGGAAATGTCCAAAAGTAAATTGGATTGATTTGTAAAATAAGTCTTCCTCTGAGGCATGCTAAAGGATATTGCAGATGATTTTTTTCTCTTTACTGGTAACTTTAAAACTCTCAGTGGGGGAAGGATTTAAAAATACTTAACTTATTTTGAATTTGTTTTTAACTAGAAAGGTTTTTTTATATAAAAGTTGTGCCAAGATGATCCAGGCCCAGCTGCATCCCCCTAAATGTTCCTCTGTGTCCCCCTAGTGGGGCATGCCCCACAGTTTGGGGACTACATGCTTAAACCTACATTTCTTTGCCCTCTCCTTGGTCCTATGCCAAGTGCAACTCTCACAGTCCCAAGAATGAGACCCAAGATCTGTTAAACTGTTTTATATGACACACTTGGCTTGCTGGTTACCGTTTTCTTTGGGTTTCTGCGATTGTTTGACTGTGTTTTCCCACAGAATCATAGAATATCGGGGTTGGAAGGGACCTCAGGAGGTCATCTAGTCCAACCCCCTGCTCAAAGCAGGACCAATCCCCAATTTTTGCCCCAGATCCCTAAATGGCCCCCTCAGGGATTGAACTCACAACCCTGGGTTTAGCAGGCCAATTCTCAAATCACTGAGCTATCCCTCCCCAAAGCATCTCCCAACGAGGATGGGATGCGAACCCACGTGTGCAGAGCACAATGGATTAGCAGTCCATCAGTTGCACCTTCCAGGCACATCCATCCAATAGCACTGGCTCAAAGAAAAACAGAGCTCTTAGAACTGTTGTGCATGCAGGTTCTTAAACAGCTAGGTCATTCTGAAGGCCTAAAATCTGGGCAAATGGCTAGTCAAGGATGTGGGAGGTGTTATGTAAACTAACTGTTGCTTTACAAAGTTGCTCTCCTCTTTTCCTCTCCCCCTCACCTGCCCAAAAATAAACTTCTCTGTTTTATGGTTGGTATCCTGACAGGTTCCTTTACTCCTTAGTTGGCTACATACATTGTATGTTGAACTTCCTCTTTGAGACATGGTGACAACATGGTGTGCACGGGGGCACTGGAGGTGAAGGCACCATTTTAACAGCACAGATTAATAAACATCCCATTGCTATAAATCAGATGATGCCTCAAATGAGGTCTGCAACATTCTGACTTATGAAAATAAACCCCTTATGCTCATTTTCTAGCATTGCCTAGTGGAATGGGCAGTAGTTATCTTTTGTAACTAAGTATTCAACACACAAGTCTTGACAAAATTCCAGCATAAGTCATTTTGTATCTACTTAACATATTTCCCTCTGTTAACTGGAGACATTACTCTTGATTTTCCCATGGGCTAAAAGAAACACCTGTTGTACTGATGCTGGTGCAGAATGGATGTCATCCCAGTCACAAGGGGGCTGGTGAATAATTCCTAAACAAACATGTTCTGATAATAGAATAAGATGCCCTTTGCTTGTTCGTTCCTGTACTAGTTTTATGGATCACTTGTTTCACTGCTCAAATCTATTTGTCCCTGTGTGATTTAGAAAAGAAAACAGGACACCTTCAGCAGAGAAGGGTGTGGGCAGGCAGGCAACTCTGCTTAAATCCTGAAATTCCTCCTGGCACAGAGTTGTTGTCTTCCCTATGATTGGATTTCTACTCACAGCTTGGAGGATCAGGCCATGCACTGCCCAGTTATCCACACCCTGGTTCACCAAGCAGTGTCCTGTTCTTCCCCCAGCACAGGGACAGGTAGGTTTGGCTCAATCTTACCACTGCTGCAAAACGGCCACAGAAAAGAATCAACCAAGGATGTCTTCTTTCAGTCACAACCGTTGTGTAGACAATGGACATTTACATCCATGTACTACTGAACAACTTCTTTGGGGGTAATTCTGTAAACATTTTTTTCACACCTAAAAAGTACTCTAGTGTTGTGGGTAGCTGTCTGTATCCTAAATTTATCTTCATAGGTAATATTAAAGATGGCTTAATCTCCTGGTGCTAGAAGTTTCAAATCAGAGTGGCAATCTGCCTCCCAGAGTAAAAGAATTTGTGATGATAAAAGAGGCTTTCTGTAGCAATTTGTTATTTTAATCCTTTCATGATGGTAAACAACTTCATGGTGGGAGCATTCCATTCCTTAGAAGCATGGCCTCTATTTTACTAACCAGTGAAATTAACCCTTTCACCATATTACGTAAAACAAAGCACTATCCTGAACTACATAATATTAATCTCTAAGGTTCTGATCCTGGGAAGAGATGGAACACTTCCGATGGGTTGCTTCATGTCCTCCGTGTTAACTGACCTCAATGTGACAACAAGTTTGGAAAATGAGTTCAAATTTATTAATCATTTCCCTGTCATGTAAAAGCTTTATCTCCCAACATTTATTTCTCAAATTTTTTAACTAACTTTACCATTTTAAAACTTCCATTTCTTTCCACCTCCCATATGCTCTTGCCTGTTTCATTTTTTTCAGAGGATTTCTCACTCTGTCCTTCTCCACTCACTTTTTCACCATCTCTCAAGTGGAACATGAGCCCACAAACTTTCAACTCTGAATTCAGCTTTTTAAAGTCATTCTGTTGAGCAGGTGGCACTGGTAATTAGGGGATGTATTTGACCAGCCTTAATAGGAACCAATAGGCTTTTCAAAACTGTAGTGCATTACCTATGGAAAAAACTAATCTGAAAACTTTACATGTCTTCCCTCTTTTGAGAGACACAATTTAATAGAGGGAAAAATTGGCAGTTATGCAGATATATATTGTTGTTGCCTATGTAGAAAACCCACATATGGGTCTTTTCATAGATTTTACTGTTCTAGAATCTGTTTCATTTTAAAAGTAGTTTTTCTAACACTTGTGCTTATGCATACTGAAAATTACTCTATGGAACTCAATTGTCCCAAGATCCATTCGAATTCAGGAGCTTAGCAGAATCTAAAAAAGGTTTATTTGTTTTTACAGATAGAGAACATTAAAAAAACATATATGAAGTAACAAATCTTGTTACTATGGATGTAAGCTAACCGATAACTGTTGTGAAGTCCCTCCACCTCCTTTCATTTCCAGGTGTCAAGGTTGAAGCCTCCTTATTACTTTGAGGCTGGATATCTACAAGGACTGTGTACAGCACCTAACAGAGAGGAGTCCTGGTCTATGACTAGGGACCCCAGCAATATGGTAATACTACTAATATAGAGTATGATGATCCATTCATTTGAAAGGGTATTGCAGTTAGGAGTAGAGCTATTTTTGATAACTACAAACCTGGGCCCTAATCAAGTTATCCTTAAAATTAATGGACACAGTTCCATTGACTTAAAGGGCATTGCTTCAGCCCATTAGTCTAGATTTGACCCCATCATCAATAGCAGTTGTAAAGTATATGTTCTGTGGTAACTGTCCCGCCATCAGTCCCTTTTCCTTGGACTCTATTTGTCTCATTCAGCATATGGCTTTTTATGTATCCACCCCATGTTACCTAGCTCCAGGACTCATAAGATAGTACAGGATAGCACACCTAAACATTTTTGTTTTGTATTCAAATACCCTTTCATGTAGTATTTTGGAGGAAAGAGGATGGGAATGGGGAGCGAAGAGGATTGCTGATGAAACAGTAGCTATGCATTTTGAAGATTAAAAATCTTTCTGTCAGTGCTAACATTATTAGCTTCACTGTTATCCCAGTTCCTTATCAGGACAGCAGATTACTTTGTACAACCCACAAGATCACGTTTTCTTAGCAAAGCCAAGTTAGAAGTGGAGCAAGTGGAGTTCCCAATTGAGTTCCCATTCTTTGGGTAGAAACAGGTGAAATTTGACTTCCTCACAATTACAATAATAAAAATCAGTGCCGAGGAGGGTGAAAATGCACAACAAAGCATGCACACCATTTTGTAAGCCATCTTAATGTTTCACTGTAAAAAATGTTGGTTGTAGTGTTATAGCCATGTTGGTCTCAGGAAATAAGAGATAGTGAGGTAATATCACTTCTTGGACTAACTTCTGATAAGTGATAAGATTTTGAGCAACACTGAGCTCTTCTTCAGGTATGGGGAAGGTAATCTGAAAGTCACAGCTAAATACTAAGTGGCATAGATTAAGCATCAAGAGTTAACATCTATTCCATCTTGTATTTAGCTGCGACTTTCTGATTACCTTCTTCAGACCTGAAGAAGAGCTTAGTGTAGCTTGAAAGTTGCTCTCTTTCACTAACAGAAGTTGGTCCAATAAGAGGTATTATCTCCTTCACCATCTCTGACTCAATGAAGAAATATCACAGGTGATTGTGTCAAGTCATAGAAGTTATATCTATCTCATAGGACAGAGACTCACGAGATTCTTTAGTGTTTATGTACCAGCAGAAGGCTACCCAGTAGCAAACAGCAGTACCTACTGTTTGTCATTTAGGGTGTTACAGGAAGTGTTTTTCTGCTCTCTGGATATACAGGTGGTGTAAATATAGGAGAGAGCAAATCTTGAAAGGGTATTATGCACCTTGAAAATGAAGAGAACATGCTTGATTACAAAAGAAAATAGGTCTATTTCTTGAGTGAGGCATAAAGGACACTGTAGGTGCATTTTGGGCCCATGAGAAAAACTACATTCTGTTCCTAGGAAAATAAGCACCATACAAGACAGGGTGGATTGATATAAATCAAGAAGAAGGAAACCTTAATTTAAATTTATTTTTTTCTTCATTTTTACTTATTTTCCTAAAGAGAGGTAACTACTAACTATAGCCTTTATGCTAAATTCGGTACTTTTAGTTAACCAAGTGGATACACTGTATACACATCTACTTAACCAATTATATACATGTCCATTTATTTAGGTTCTTAATTTATTTTTGTTAGAAAATGACAAGTGACACTTTAATTTTTTTACTCATTTGTGTTAAGTGGCATTTGGTTGGAAGTTTGATTCAATTAAATGCACAAACGTTTAAAACAGCATTCTAAAATTGTTTTAGATAAACAAAGCTACCTTATGCTCTTAAACAATTTTTTTCTTGTTTAAAATTAACTGATTTAAATGAAGTATTAGCTTTAGTTAGTGAATTGAATTGACTGTTTTTGGTCAGTATGACCCAAACTGTCAAAGGTATTTAGATACCTATGTCCTTCATGATGGTAGAACTCATCCTCACACCTTTTTATTCATAAATTGGAAGAGGAAAACAATTTCTGTTTTTCAACTCCCAGTTGGTTTCTCAACTTCATCTGTGTGGCAGATGGGATGTTCCACTCACCTCGGAACACTTGGCAGTCAACAAGAATAGTTTATTCTGGCCAAATTCTATTATGTATAATTCTGCTGTCCAGCTAGAAGTTCCTTCTGCAGTTTCATCTAAATGTGGTATTCTTCATCAGGGCCTATCCTTAACTGTATTGCTGTATGCCATTCCCCTACAACAGAGTTCTGTGGCAAGGGTGATTGCATGTTAATAGTGAAATGATTGCTCTGTGCATGTTCGTAGAGCATGTTAGGAAACATTTACACACAACCTATTATGTTTACTGGCATTAATGACAATTTTTTTAAATGAAGGACAATTGTAAGTTATTTACTGTACTTTACCATAAATATTAGCCCTGGGAGAGGGTGGTTAAAAGACCTTTCTGGAATTACAATAACTGTCAGTACAAATATGTATAGTTTGACTACAGCCCTCAGAGGCACGGGATAAGGAATTGTTTAATTAAACAGCTCAGAACGGCTATTAACAAAACCACCAAATAGTAAATTAACAGTGTTGGGCACCTACTAGTCATAAGTCTTTTAATGCCTCCAATTTTACTACAGCAGAAAACTGAAGGCAGCAATTGCTCTAATAGTAAAGAGTACACAAACCCCTTGTTTCACTCATTTAACACAGTCAGAGGGGTCAGGCACCAAAGTGTATGACTTCAAAAAAAATCTGCAACTGGCAATAGGGTGAGGTAAACCTGGCGCCAAAAATTTTGGTTTTCCTAAAACTGACTTTTTGCAAAACCTTAGATGTACAGAATTATTAAAATTCCCCTGAAAACATTGTTTTAAATATTATCTACAAGCTGCTGCTACTACAGCCTGAGAAACTGACCATGTTATTTTCATAGGCCAAGCACAGCAAAGTACGTACAACAAACAGAATTAAAAATAAGTTATGTTTTGAGAGTTCTCAGTTTTGAAAACCTCAAGTCATGACATAGCTAAGCAAATTGGCTTTTAAAATCTATACTTTTTAAAGGGGTACACCTTTACCTTAAACTCATTTCCACCTTAGTTTTGTATCTGCTAGTGTTACAAGTAACACCTAAGGTCGCTAATTGAAAAAATTAGTGTAGGAAAAGATGTGCTCCTCTTTGACAACAGTGTGCAGTCAGTTCCATTGTATTGTTGATTCTGATAGTTGTATTTCCTGTCTCATGCAGTAACATTAGGATATCACTCCTCCATTACTTGAGGGATGAAGCTCATGTACGTGCTCTTTTCCAGTCTTTGCACGATGAGGCTATTAGAATAGAAGCAGCTATGCTGCAAATGAAGAGGCAGCAGCTAGAGATGTGCACTGAGAAAGAGTACTGAACCTAAGCATGTTTGATACTTTGGATCTCACTTTCTGGCGAGTAAGACCCTTATTAATACGGAAGCAGAAACACTAATATGAAGTAATAGAGGAAATTAAGAAATGTTTCTATCCATGCTGTTGAAAGGGATTCTTAATAAGAAAATTCCAAATTAGTAAATTTCAAAAAATGTCAAACTGATGGTAGATCTATATAAAGGGAAACATTAAGTGGGGGGAAAAGTGATCCAACTGTCAATTACTGCAGTGACAAAATACACCAGAGACAACCTCTCCACTACCCCTCAACAAAACCAAAAACCTTTAATCTCCTCGGTTCTTGCAAGAGTCATTTTGGAAGAAGAGTCTCTACATGCTGGTCACCAGGACCATTAGGAGAGAGAGGAACTAGACATACTTGTTGGGTCCTTTTCACTCACATGAGCCTTTTAGGGTCAATTTTCTCCAGGTGAACTAAGGGCTTTAGCTGCTCAGCAAAGTTTCGCATGTCATCAGAAACTACGTCTTGTCCTGCTGGAGCTACTACACTCAGCTCCACGAGGTAGGAGAGAGACAAGGGCTCAATGCTATCAGTGTTTCCTGGAACCAGGATGCGGAAAATCTTGTACACTACAATCTTCATGATACCCTTGCGGAACACATGGCCCTTGGCGACAAACTCGTGATCCATGCGGAAGCCCATCTCCACCAGAAAGTCAGTAAGGTTCTCTGAGGTGGCGATGTCAACACAGTTGCGCACCAGAGCATGGCGGTTTTTGTCTCCCATTTCTGGCTGTCCCAAATAGCGTAAGTGCCAGGGTGTGCCAGTTTTGTCCATCGAGCGCCGTGCCCTCAGGACAAAGGGACTGGCCTGCTGCCCTTTCAGGAGGAACACCATCTCATGGTCCAAGAAAGTCTCAGGTTCCATGTTGTCACACAGACCACGCAACCGGTGAAGGAGGCTCTCCAGGCTTTGATCCAAAACACTTCCTGGGAAGGAGAACAAGTTCATTATTTCACCACTGAGCCATTTTACTATTGCCATTATGATTGCATTTTTTCATCCACCAGTGCATGGGACACCCCAAATAATTGCACCATATTTAAAAAAAAAAAGCAAAGAGAACAAATGCTCATCCAAACTCATTTTTCAAAAAGAAGCAGAGGATGCAAAACTTATCCATAGTGCTCTTCATCTGGGAATCTCAAAACATTTACAAATGTATTCCCCATTTTATTTTTTATAGAACGAGAGGTGTACAACACTTGAATAACTTTTCCAAGATCGGCAGTGACGAAAAAGACGTAGCTCTAATTACTAGTCCAAATCTCTGGACCACTCTCCCAACACAACACACAACACAACACACCTAGGTTGCAGGTACATTAGTACTGTTTTTCAATGTCTATACTCCACACTGTAGCTACAACAGCAGCACAGAGACACCACTATAATGTTAATAATTACACTGGAGGCTGTCGCAAAAGCTTCCAGAGGGATTTGCAGCAGAACCAAAAACTATAAGGGCAAGAGCAAAACCCCAAACAAATCTTATCTTCTGTAATGGAATATTCTGCACCAAAAAGGAGTTTGGAAAGGGGGAGGGGGATGGGATATTGTCCACAGATCACCTGCTTCTGGAGAGTTTTAGCCCTAAAGGTCAACATCTTTCACAAAAGAAGTCTGACCTCGCTAGTTTAGGATCTGACTGAGGTAAGGTCTTCTCTTCCCCATTCCCCCTCCCCAATTCATCTCAAAACGTTAAATACTGGAATGACTTAGGTACAGTACGGGGAAGCTGAGAGTTTCCAGAAGAACCTGGCAGCATACCACTGTGACCTGAAATCAAACCCATCTTCCCACCAACCTTACCTTGGAGTAAATACTCCATCATGTTAATGGTGCCGCCAGTGACAGGCATCATGGTAACCGGTGGGGCCTCCATGGTTTTGGCTTCCCTAGATGAAGCACAAAGAAATCAGGTCCACGACTACACCAGGCTTTCAGGCGCCGGGAGACCCCCGCGACCCCGCAGTGTGTGTGTGGGGGGAGGAAGGGAGGCTGCCCTTCCTTGTACGGGAACCGACGCCCCGATGAGGGGCTCCCCGCGGGAACAGCTCCTTGCAGAGCGCGTAGGGCAACCGGCTGCGGCTTCGATACAACCACCTGGGAGGGGCCGGGGTGCAGGTGAGCCGCGGGGGAGGAAGGATGGCGGGGTTTGGGGACCCGGCCCGGGGCGGGGGAAGAGGAGCGGGAGCCGGCCCCGAGGGGGGCCTGGAGCCCCATGAGCAGGACGGACGCTCACCTCTCACCTGTGGGGCGGCGCGGCGCGGCGGGGGCTCCCCTCTTTACGGGCTGTTCCAAAGCTCCCCCGGCTCCGGCCCGCGCGCCCCGGCACAACCTCACTTCCTCCGCCCAGGCCGCCGACCTGCTCCCGAGCGCGCATGCGCCACACGCGGGCTGGCGGGCGGGCGGACTGAGGAAAGGGGGGGCGGGGTTTCCTGCTCGCTCCGAGGCGGAGACCAGCGGGGCTTCGTCTGCGTGGAGAAGCGTACGCGATGCCTTGGCCCCCCTCGCGGCCAGCCCGGGGCACATCCCGCTCAGCAGCCCTGCCCCCGCGGCCAACTCGGGGCACATCCCCCGTCAGCGCCGCCCGCGGCCAGCCCGGGGCACCCCCCATCAGCGCCGCCCCCCCCCCGGCCGGCTCGGGGCACCCCCCCCCCTCAGCACCGCCCGCCACCCCCGCCCGCGGCCGGCCCGGGGCACACCCCCTCTCAGCACCACCCTCCCCCCCCCGCGGCCAGCCCGGAGCACCCCCCATCAGCGCTACCCCCGCCCGCGGCCTGCCCGGGGCACACCACCCCCCTCAGCACTACCCTCTCCCAGCGCGGCCGGCCCGGGGCACACCCCCCCTCAGCGCCACCCCCGCGGCCGGCCCGGGGCACACCCCCCCTCAGCGCCCCCCCGCGGCCGGCCCGGGGCACACACCCCCTCAGCGTCGCCCCCCCCCCCGCGGCCGGCCTGGGGCACCCCACCCCCCCTCAGCACCGCCCGCCACCCCCGCCCGCGGCCGGCCCGGGGCACACCCCCCCTCAGCACCACCCTCCCCCCCCCCCGCGGCCGGCCCGGGACACACCCCCCTCAGCACGCCGCCACCCCCGCCCGCGGCCGGCCCGGGGCACACCCCCTCAGCACGCCCGCCACCCCCGCCCGCGGCCGGCCCGACACACCCCCCTCAGCACCGCCCGCCACCCCCCCCCGGCCCGGGGCACACCCCCCTCAGCACCACCCCCCCCCCGCCCGCGGCCGGCCCGGGACACACCCCCCCTCAGCACCGCCCGCCACCCCCGCCCGCGGCCGGCCGGGGGGGCACACCCCCCCCCCTCAGCACCACCCTCCCCCGCGGCCGGCCGGGCACGCACCCTCCCCGTCAGCACCACCCTCCCCCCCCCGCGGCCGGCCCGGGGCACCACCCCCCCCTCAGCACTACCCGCCACCCCCGCCCGCGGCCGGCCCGGGACACACACCCCCTCAGCGCCACCCCCGCCCGCGGCCGGCCCGGGACACACACCCCCTCAGCGTCGCACCCCTCAGCGTCGCCCCCCCCCCCGCGGCCGGCCCGGGGCACACCCCCCCCCCTCAGCACCGCCCGCCACCCCCGCCCGCGGCCGGCCCGGGGCACACCCCCCGTCAGCACCACCCCCGCCCGCGGCCGCCCGGGGCACACCCCCCCCAGCACCACCCTCCCCCCCCTGCGGCTGGCCCGGGGCACACCCCCCTCAGCGCCACCCCCGCCCGCGGGCCGGCCCGGGGCACACACCCCCCCCCCAGCACTACCCTCCCCCTCCGCGGCCGGCCTGGGGCACACCCCCCTCAGCGCCGCCGCCCCCCCCCTCGCGGCCAGCCCGGGTAACACAGGAAGAGGCTGAAGTTGGTTCCTTATTCCTAGCTCCTTATTGGTGGCCCCCGGTTCCTTCTAAAAAGGCGAAAATTAAATTTTCGGTAAGATTAAATTTTTAGAAATGGCATTAAAATTAATCTGATAAACATGTAAATCAGTAATTAGTTGTTAACTAGATAATCAAATAACCTGGGGTTTGGCTGACTGTATGTGCCTAAACAAGTCTTGGGTCACCCCAGGTGAGTCTGTAACAGGTCCCCATGATGCTCAGACTGTTTCAAAGGAGCTGGTAGAAATTGCACTCAAAGTTTCATTCTTGTGCAGTGTGCTGCCATGGCACTCCCTCACCCCACTTTCCTTTTGTATATGGGGCTTGATGGGAAGATGACATTGTTAAATGTTTCGGACGAACGTGGAGAAGAAAGGCAAGAGTGCGAGAAGAATGGCGGACGTGTTGTGATCGGTGCAGTCTTAACGACAGCTGAAGACCAATCGATCCAGGTGATCCAGGTGACAAGGTTGTCCACTGATTTCTTTATATAACCCACATTACCATCATGGGTTTTTCTCTGACCCTCACCACCATAGTATCTGAACACCTTATCCTTGGTAAAGGATTTTATCTTCACATCACACCTGTACAGTAGGGCACTTGCACCCCCATTTTACAGATGAAGAACAGAGTAATTTAAAAAAAAACAATGAGGAGTACTTGTGGCACCTTAGAGACTAACAAATTTATTTGGGCATAAGCTTTCGTGGTCTAAAACCCACTTCATCAGATGCATGGAGTGGAAAATACGGTAGGAAGATATATATACACAGTACATGAAAAGATGGGAATTGCCTTACCAAGTGGGGGTTCAATTCTAACAAGACAATTCAATTAAAGTGGGCTATTATCAACAGGAGAGAAAAATCACTTTTGTAGCAGTAATCAGTGTGGCCCATGACAAACAGTTGACAAGAAAGTGTGAGTACAGTAGGGAGAAATTAGCATGGGGAAATTAGTTTTTAGTTTTTGTTGTGATCCATCCACTCCCAGTCTTTATTCAGGCCTAATTTGATGGTGTCCAGTTCGCAAATTAATTCCAGTTCTCCAGTTTCTTATTGGAGTCTGTTTTTTTGTTGAAGAATTGCCACTCCCGATTTTAAGTTTGTTATTGAGGTGTTCTCTGACTGGTTTTTGAATGCTATAATTCTTGACGTCTGATTTATGTCTATTTATTCTTTTGCTTAGAGACTTCAAGTCACACAGGAAGTCTGCAGGTGAGCTAGCAATTGAATCCAGATGTCTTGAGTACTAAAGCAGTGTACTTCCCAGTATGCCATCCTTCTTTGTCCTCTATCTGGTCTGTGAACCACATGAAGAGATTTATGGGCCAGTTAAGGCCCTGTACTTTGGATAGACATCTACACCTGTGCAAAGTTAATGTAAAATACGGCCAGATCAGAAAGGTACCACTATATGCCCACTTCGCACAAGTGTTAATGGTGACACAACATGCAGGGCAACAGAGAATCTGGCCTTCATGATTCAATCCCTGCAGGTAGCTGTGGGATAGAAAGGGGTAACTTTAAATTGTTTGACACCATGTAATTTTATTTTTTTAAATTACTATAAATATTTAGTCCAGAGAATCAAGAAAAGTAGGACAGCTCTTATTGTTTGTTTGTCTTACTGACAATTCAGGGAAAACCAATGTTAAAAGATACTCTCATGAATTGCCTGTATCACTAATTCTATCTCAGAGAGATCTGATTTCCACTATTTTAGTCACAGAGGGTCTTGATGTACCTTAGGGGACACCATGATTGAGACCAAGCAAAATAATCACAGTTATTAACCATGATTATATTATTCTTAAAGAGAGGAAAAGAAAACAAACAAAAACACAAATGACATGACACAACTGATAAAATGGTTCTCCAAGTGGTTGCAGACATGTATTCTACTCAGGTGTGCATGCACCCAGTGTACTGTAGCCGGAGAACTTTGTGCAGCAGTACCTGACAGGGCAGCGCTCGTGCCCTCTGGCTCCTCCTATGGCTATTTAAGGGCGGCGCTGTCCTGATCCCATTCAGTTCCTTCGCGCTGAGCACAGTCTGAGTTGGAGCTTCCTGTGTGGGTTTTGCCTCCTGGTTACTGTGAAGACAATGAGATTCTCTGTAAGCATGGGCACTTTTGTTTTTGCTGGTGGGTGCTTTTGAAGAGGTGTGTGTGCTTGTGGGGGAGCTTTGCCAGTTTTGGTGGGGAGGCTATTTTCAGCATATTTATACACATTCTAGTTATTGAATATGTATGTATGTATCATTGGTATCGACTCTTTTAATTGTTAAGAACTACATAATTACATTATCATGAATTACAGCATATTAAAATCATTGCAATCACCTACAAGCTGTCTTCACTAATGTCCCAGTTTAAATACATTACGTCTAACTGCAGCTTTCTGGATAACTGTCAGCCGTTATAAGATGTATAACTTATTTACATCTACTTTCCTGATATGGTCTTGATGCACGTTAAAGACAGCTACATTATTCAGTTGCATCTGTCCCGTAGTAGATGACATTATTCAGTTGCGTCTGTCCCAATTACTGTTTGTGAGTAGAATACACACATCTGCAACCACTCTAGGAAGAAAAAAGGGTTGCCTACCTGTATTGTAACTGTTATTCTTTGAGATGTGTTACACAATCCACCCTCTGCCCCCTCTGCACCTGAGTCCCCAGTCTTAGATTCCAGGGTGAAGAAACTGAGGGGAGGAGGGGGTACAAGGGCCAGATGGTACGAGTGCTGCCCCAGTGGGTGTGTACTGTTAAGCACAGTTCTCCAGCTTCAGTGAATGAGGCACACGCACACCTGAGCAGAATACATGTCTGCACCCACATTTCGAAGAACAACAGTTACAGTACAGGAAGATAACCATTTTTCACTTCTGTTGGAATTGCTTCTGTATGTCCCTCTGAGAGTGGGCCTGCCTTTGATGGAGGACTCTTCTTTTGGCAAGTTGAGACTAAGGGCTTATTTCCAAAAATGGTTGTGAAACCAATCTTAGTGTATCCTTAGATAATTAAGGGGCAATATAACTTTGTTTAAGGAAAGGTGGATCCTGTTGGTTGTTAGTAATAACCAGTTTATAATTGGGCAAAATAATCAATTGTAACTAAAGCCTATGAAACTGAAGAAAATATTTAAATCAGTTACTTAAAATAAGCCATTTAAGGATCTGTTTTAAAACAGGCCAATTACAAATATTAGGAATCTTAACTCCAATTGAATCCCACTGGTTAGCCCCTGTCTCTTCTCCACGAATACATGGTCTAACCATTTCGTAATTAACAGGAGAACTCTTAAAATATTAAGTTACAACAGCATTTCCATATTGCAAAAACTATTACAAGTTTCTTAAATCTAATCCCTTGGCAGTGTCTCTGTTAACTTTCTCTCACCAATCCATGCTGAAGTCTTGGGGAAGTTTTCCTTGGGTTGGTTTTGTTTTTTGAGTCATCCCTATTTTTTGTAGCTGTCTGTAATAGGATGAGTTATGGAGTGCTTGCTGTTTAAGCAGGATAGCAGGGAGTGTGTGGGGAGGGGCAGGAATGCTTACTTCAAAGATTTTTATACACTCCTCCTTCTTTCTATGAAATTATAGGATAACACACCTCTTTCAGGCTTGTTTAAATTCAGAGTCGGTG